TAGACAGCAGAAAATACTCAAACTCAGTTCAGAAATTAATAAATTAACAACAAAGAGAACAATGAAAAGAATTAACAAAAGCAAGAGATGGTTCTTTGAGAAAATCAAAAAGACAGACAGATTTATAGCCAAAGTAACTAAAAGGCAGAGAGACAATATCCAGATTAACAAAATCAGAAATGAAAAGGGGACATAACAGACACCAGGGAAATCTAAAGAATCATTAGGTTTTACTTCAAAAGCTTTACCCCACACAATTGAAGAATCTAACATAAATGACAATTTTCTTGATAGACTCCACGTACCAAAGTTAAATCAAGATGAGGTAAACAGTCTAAATAGCCTTAAACTCTTTTTTTTTTTTAGTCTGTATCAGTGATTGCATCTTTAATTAGAAAAGTTTAACTATTTACATAACTTTATTGCTGTTTATTGTAACAAAAGATTAACTGGTGTGTAGAATCCATCCAGTAGCGTAGAAACTAAAAGCAACTGTTCCAGAAGACATCGTTGTGGATGAAATCTGATACTCAGTGTACAGCATAAGTCCTTTCATGTCATCTGGTTCTTGCTGGAGTCATCTATGTTCATCTCCCAGAGAGCAAAGAATCCATTTGACGTTTCAATAAATATTAAGTTGCAAAAATTAACTTCCATGGACTAGACATCCAAAGTTTTGATGAATGATTCCCAGAATCAAGTATGTCCTCCTTTAGTCCAAAGAGATGACGTCAGGAATGTTACTCCCACTGCTGGTTATGACCCCTGTCTCACTCCTGCTGCTGGATGAACTAACGTGAGTACTGCTTTCATGGGGGCTGGTGGTGGTGACAGACGTACTGCTTGCTGTTAAGGGTGAGGTGAGACTATCCAAAAACATAGGAGGACAGTACTGGGGATCAACTGGAATAAGGGAAAGAAAATCCAAACCTGGCAAATCTGATGACATGCTTGACACTGGCGTGTGGTGGAATGGTACTGAGTAGTCTGTTAATGAAGGTGGGATAGCAGCAGGATCAACTGAAGTCACACTGGGCACCCTTACAGAAGATGGCTGATACATGAGAACCCCTTTGGTTGGACTGTTTTGTGTTTCCGACATAAAGATGCATTTCCTTTTGGTGGGAGGGTCTTCCTCTTCATCAGAAGAGCTCTCTATTGTTAGATCAATAACATCTATCTTCTTCTTGCTTGCATCACTGGCTACAGTCACTGAACAAGGTTTACTAAAGACACTTGAACTTTCAACTTTTGTACAGGGCTGGCTGGTTACTTTCATAGCTTCTTTCTTAGGTCTCATGGGACACCAAGAACCATCCTCCTGAAATTTGATCTCATCCACATCAGAACAGTCATTGAGAATTTCCATAAAAAGCCCATCTAGTATCAGACTCTCATAGGCAGCCTTTTTGTCACACACAGGACAGATCCAGGTGGGTTTCTTCTCATTCATCTGAAGATAAAGGGCAGCATCAAAGCACTGCAGATGTGTACAAGTCACTGCACGGCACGGGATTGTCAGCCTCATTTTTCCTACTGGGCACATCAAGGACACTCGAAGACTAGTTGTAGCAATTTCACTATCGGGATCTGCAGTAAGTTTTTCTTTAATTAGTGCTCTGGAATGATCAGGATTTCTAATACCTTTCATTTTTAATCTCTGTAATAACATGGCTGACGTAAGCTGTCGTACAAGATACACAGACATGGAGTAATTCTTTCCAATTTCAGACGCCCAAGAAATAGAAATCTGATTTGGCACAGCTGAAGACAACCTAACTAAAGATGTAATATTCAAGGGGCGTCCAGGGCGCTTCTGTTCAATCCCATTTTTAGGTGGTGGTGCATAGCCAGGCAAAGGAAAGAGTTTCCCATTTACTTTTATACACAAACTATTGGGATAGTTATCTTCTTGAGGGCAACTGGTCTCGGCCAAGCAAAGTCTCAGCTGGACTTGGACTGTATAGTCTCTCCTGCCTCCTGGCAAGAAATCCCTGGAAATGCATATCTCTCTAACTTGCTGAGGTGTCAAAGCAAAAATAAAAAACTTCTCTTGAAACCGCTGAATACTGCTTTGAACTAAACTCGTGGGCTTGATGAGAACATCAAGGACGTCATAGAAGGGCAGGTTTTTTAACTGCACGTCAGGATGGACAGGAGGAATGGGAGGAGATGGTTGCTGCATCTCAAAGGTGGGCTTAGCGTCTTGAAGCAGCACAGAACCAACAGGAGATGATGGTGAATGAGGTGTAATTGAAGTAGAAGGCAACGAGTGGATTCCAGCCACAGTCAAGTCAGGTTCTACTGGTGATGAACTACCATCCAAACTGAAAACCGATGATTTGATTGTGGATAGATCAGAAAGTCCTTCAAGTGTCCGTGGGTATCGGCGTCTATATAATTCTCGAATTTTAATCTGAACCGCAGGGCTGCAGCCACTCTTCAATAAATGCAACGCCCTCATCAGGAGGTCATGCTTGCGCCCACTTTTATTCCGTCCAGCAAAGCCCAGTAACACTTGTAATTCAGAAACCCTAAAACTAGAAACCATATTCCTCAACTCCTCGAAATCCGCCATTTTATCCCGCCCGCGGGCGCCTCAGCCTTCGCCGTTCCTCCGCCCGCTGCCGCCAACGACACCGCCACCTTCTCCTGCAACATCCTGCACTGGGCGCCGCTCTAGACGCCGCGGCCGCCGCCGCCGCCGCCGCGCCACCACCTCCTAGTCTTAAACTCTTACGGAAATAGAATTAGTTATTAAAAGTTTCCAAACACACACACACACACACACACACACACACACACACACACACACA